AAAGGGCCATACAAACAAACTCTCCTTAGGAGAATGAACAGTACACGTGATGAAGGAGATTTTAGATGCAATCAAGTGAGGCTCTGAAGCACTCACTGTACTTCAAAGAATTCTGAAATCAAAATGATAATTTGCACTCGGATAACGGAGGAGTAGTATCACTTATGCCTGTCTGCCTTCTCTCTTTATTCCTTCCCCTTCATCCTTCTCAAAAACTGGTATTAGCGGATGCAATTTGATCCAGTGTTTGGCCATATTCACTAATTGTTGTTGTTAGGTGCCCTCCCTGTCAGTTCTGAATTAAGTTCTCAATTTTCCCATCTACCTGCTTTATAAAACAAACAATAGCACTGAAGATATGAGAAGAAACTTTTCTTGCATTTCTCATGTTCTACTGAATAACTTTGCGTGTTTAAGCATAAACACATTACTTTTACTATTATATATATATATATATCTGTGAGATGCACATAATGAAAAATCCTGATGCCTTTTATTTTGTAGTGAGTATAAAATTCAGCTCAATAATCACGTGATATCTTAGTTTCTAATTTTTAATGCCAAGGCTAGAGAAGTTGATTTATTTTAGATCCAATTCTCTTTCCCTCTTTTAATTGTTGCAGATTCTGCGACGTGCTGGAGGACACATGTCTCTGCCACTTTGTTTAAGGCTTTGTCAGCTTAGGTTTTGATCTGATCTGTTCCTTCTTGCACTCTTCAGAGAGTGGTGTCGGAGAACAAAAGCGTTCCCCCTTGTGGTAGGACCCTCCAATAGCCAAAACGTCCTCTGATGCCCCCAGTCTCTCCACTAGCCAACCTGGAAGACCATTTATGGTCCCATAGAGAAGCCCAGACTTTGCTAATCTTTTTTCCTCTGTCTTGGTTAAGCATGTTTTGTTTGCTTATTTTCGAAATCTCACTACATATTGTTCAAAAAGTAATTTTTTATGTTTTCCTTGCAAATAATAATGGCCAAGTATGATTCTTAATTGGTTGTCATTAAACCTGCACCCAAAACCCACATTTTTCAAATACCCTGACTTAAAATTTTCCTTTATTTCTGTCCTTATATTCAATCTCTGTGTCCCAAATCTAAGTTTTCTGGGCCTTTCATTCTCTGGGCCCATTGCTTCTGGGTCACTTCCAGCTGGGGCTGCAGTGCAGAGGAGAGTGATTTCACAGGGCTTCTTCGTGGACCCAATGGCGGCGCCTTTTTCCTGTGCAGTGGCTAACCTTTCAGTTAGCAGCCAAGCCCTTGACCACCACAGCACTCAGAACTTTCTTTCAGGCCGCAGAAAACTGGGAAAGAATATTGAAAGGATCATGGACTCGCAGAAATATTAAAAATTACAGTCAAAATGCTTCTTAGAGGTAAGGATGGCAAGACTTCCTCGCATGTATATTGGACATGTTTCCAGGAGAGGCCGGTCCCCGGAGAAGCACACCATTTGTGGTAGAGAGGCAGCAAACATAAAAGGAAGGTCCTGAACAAGACAGACTGACCCAGTGGTTGCGACAATGGGCACAAACGTCAGAACGATTGTGGGGATGGTGCAAAACCAGGAAGTATTTCGTTCTATTTTACGTCGGGTCTCTATGAGTCAGAACCGACTCCACTGAAACAACAATAACCAAAATCAAACTGCCTGCCAAAGCGCAGATTATGACTCATCGCAGCCCTTGGGAGCAGGGCAGATCTGCCTCTGGGGTTTTGGAGACTGTAACTCTTTCTGGGTGTCGGAAGTCTCATCTTTCATGGATCATCAGCACCTGGAGTATATTAAAAATGAGAATCTAATGGACCATGTGCAACATAGTGATAATGGATAACATTGAACAATATGACTGGCATAACAAATACAGGATACACAGCTAGACTGCTCTTTACAATTGAGGATGGCAAGACTTTAACATGGTGCTTCATGTTATCAGAAGATGATGTTATCAGGAGAGAATTGTCTTTTGTAATGCCATCATGTTTGTAAAGTAGATGGTGAGCAAATCTAGGGAGACCCTCATATTATAAATTGAGACAGTAGTCCCAATAATGAGCTCAAACACAGAAACAAGTATGGAGATGGCCAAGGACGGGGAAGCATCTTGCTCTATTGTACATAAGGTCCCTGTGAGTCAAGACTGACTAGATGGTGTCTAGAAACAAAGACAACTTGCTCGACCTACTGTCTCAGATTCTGGGTTTTAACAAGATTCCCGGGCTCTGTATTCATAGATTGATATTTCAGAAGCATGAGCACACAGCACCATTGTTCTCACAATCCTAATATTTTGTACTTTGAATATTGATATACTTTCCTATATTACCCAGCTCATCATTCTATCATCAACTTTCTAAAATCGTTTACTTCAAAAGTGAAAAATACCCTGTTTTCCTTTATTAGTTCTCTGAATATTTCTTTCTTCACCTTGTATTAATCAATAGCTTATAATCTTCCCTCATCGTAATAGCAAAGATGTAGTCCATGTCTTCTGTAAGTTGCAATAATGGTTCTTATTGACTAAGGGTCTTACTATTTTTGCTAACCACTTACTTTGAACATGATGTCCTTTTCCTGAGAAAACTCTTTCCTGATAATGTGTCTGAAGCACCTGTGTCGAAGGTGGACCGTCTTCACTTCTAAGGAGCAACCCAGCTGCCTTCCTTCAAAACAGATACGCCTGTTCTGGCAGCTCATGGTGCCTGGTTTCTTCTAATTCTCTTTTTGTCCAGGAACTTTTGGAAGTCTCTAATATTTAGGCTGCTAATTCAACCTATCAGTATTTAAAGTTGGTGTTTGAGAACCTTACAGTTTATGCAATTTCTGTTTTTAAAATCTTCCATTTTTAAGATACAGAAGAATAAAAATGATCCATTTCATAAAAAATGAAATGGAGCACACAAAAATTGGTATCCTAGCCATTAATCACTTGAAATGGAATAATATTGGCCATTCTGAATTTTGAAAAGCATATGATTAATAATTTTAATGACAACACCAAGAAGATTAGTATTTCACTCATTGTCAAAAAGGAAATTTCAAGATATGTCTTGAAGGACCATAATGTCTGTGATAGTGTAATATCCATCAGCATACAAAGAAATACAGTCAATAAAATCATTATTCAAATTTATGTATCATCCACTAAAGCTAGTGATGCAAAACTTGAAGAATTTTATCAATTCTTCAGTCCGAGTTTAATCAAACATAGAATTATGGAGCATTGTTTATTATTGGTGATTTGGATGGAGAATTTGGAAACAAAATTAAGGTACACTAGTTAGAGAATATGTTGTAGATGGCATGATTGAATTTTGCAAGACCAGCGAATCCTTTACTGCAAATACCTTGTTTTCAATAGCAAGAAAGATTGCTAGTCCCACGGACTGCTCCAGTTGGAATACACAGACATCAAATTGACTCCATCTGAGAGGAGAGATGATGGAGAAGCTCAAGACCTGCAGTCAAAGCAGGCCAGGACCACACTTGGATCAGACTAGCAATGGCCCCTATCCATTTCCAAGTTAAAGCTGAGAAAAATTAAAACCAGCCCATAGGAGCCAAAATAAGACTTTGAGTACATCGCACCTGAATTTTGAAAGCACCCCAAGAACAGATTTGGCTTATACATTAATGACAGGAGACCTGATGCGAAGTGAGATCACATCAAAAACATCATAGAGAAAGAAAATGAAAGATCATTTAAAAGACAAGAAAGAAAAGCTCAAAGTGGATGTCAGAAGAGGCTCTGAAAATTGCACTTAACCATAGACTAGCTAAGGCGAATGCAAGAAATGATCAATCAAAGAGCTGAACAGAAGATTCCAGAGGGCAGCTCGAGAAGACCAAGTAAAATATTACAATGAAAGGTGCAAAGATGGAGAATCAGAACGAAAGAGGAAGAGCATGCTCACCATATCTTCAAATGAAAGAATTGGGAAGAAAACTTCAA